AAAGTCCATTATCGTGCCAGATAATACCGCGGATCAACGTGATTCTCGATGCGAACGAAATCTCGAGCTCCTCGAGTTCGGCGTGTCTTGCGTGTCAATTGCGCATTAAACGTGTAATGCATATATGATGCTTCGTTAATCTATAAATTGTAGCGCAAAACGCGCGAATTTTCACGAAACAGCGTGTCGTCATGTTTTCACGATAATTTCCTCGAGAAAACGATTTTTAAATGAATATGAAACTTCGATACGCGCCGACATTCAGATAAACTTCCATCATTATCGCGATGTTAGACAATCAATGACGGAAATTCTACAATTTTTTAATTACATTTGTGAGGCAAATATACTATATTCAATTAATCATTTGTAAAAATTCGTATTAAATTAATCATTAAATTTACATTATATATTTCCTGTTGTAAATGATACAGCTACAAATTTATTAAAAGATGCACTCAGATTTTCATATTACATTTTGCATCTATAAAAAAAAGGGTTTTCTCTTAGATTTAGTATTCGTATTTGATTAGCTTTGATTTGTTTATATATAACTCAAAAAAATAATTTTATATTAAGCAACATAATTTTATATCAAATATAAAATTTGGTTTTACTAAATCACGTTATTTATAATGGAAAAAACATATTATTTTTAAAAAATTGCTGAGTTTCTTTAGCAAAATGAGAAAATTAAGCCAAACGATATTCTTCTTTAGACCAAACAATAAATTATTTGAAAATCCAACAATCATATTGATTGACCAAAAGACATAGTTTCTCTGTATTACTTCAATGATCAAATTGGTTCGGATGCAATAAAATATATTAAATCCAAAAGAGTCTTCTCTGTATATGTGGCAAATATAAAAGTTACATGAACCACACTGAGTGAGAAGTAGTTGAACACTTATTTTTGTGTGCGATACAAAGTTTATCAACAGAAATAAACTTCATTTCGCAGAAATAAATTTCATTTCGCAGAAACAAACTTTATACCCCGCCAATAAATTCTCAAGTACTATTCTGTTTTCAGTGCACTTATAGGAGACGCGATCTTTACAAATCGATGAATATAAGGTTGCTGCCAGATTTACGTACACCTGTGTGTCCGGATCCTCTCCGCGACGGAGAGAAGCACGAGACATTTACCGCTTTCTCCCGCGGCGTGCTTCCGCGAGCGCGAGTCCTCCTCCCCTCCCCCGTTTTCACGTTCGTGCGATGAAAAGAATGTCAGCTTGCATTCGCACACGTCAAGCAGATTAAAGTCAATGTCTCCGGGTTACGTTCTCCCCTAGTCGCGCGGCGTAACGGACACCGGTTCCTCTCTCCTTCGGCGAACGTCGTCGTCGCGGGGCGAGGAGGTTATTCCGTTTCCGAAGTATCGAGACCCGGAGGGTTGCCGCTCTTATTCCGCCGTATTCAAAGCGGTCGCCTCTCTTTTCTGGTCGACGCGGTTACGAGAATGCCGGCGTTTCACGGTGACGGAACGACGTTTCACGGTGACGAGCGAGGTCCCGCGCGAACGTACACGGATACACGTTCGCGAACACGGGGGAGAGAGTCTCGCCCTCACGGTGAACGATAAACGAAAGTACGCTTTTACTTTCGCCCGAAATGTCCCCGCGTCTCGAAACCGCCGCCGCAGGCTGTAAAAATACCGAAGTCGATCGCGTCGAGATTCTCCGCGCCGGTGCTCTCCGCCGTTTCTCTCCGCGGACGGACCTCTCTCGGATACTTGACTCGTTTCTCAAACGTGCGCCTCGGCGCACCGATAGCCAGGCATATGGTTTCGCGTCTGGGACGCGTGTATCATCGAGGATTCCGCGTTATATATGTCTCTTTTCTGAATTCCGCCGCGCTGCGTCCGCCCACGGCGCTATAAATTCAGGGCCCCGACCGGTCCGTTGGATTTATGCATCGCTAACGCGAGACAGGTGCGTCGTTGCAGCGACCGCGCCTTTACCAGATTAATAACACGTCTCGTGGAGTCCCGATTTAATATCCGCGCGAGGTGTAATTGTTTCGTCGTGGATTTTACAACTTAATCGATCGGTGCCTCGGCAGGATGCATAGCCTCGCCCGGAGCACGCGAGTCGCTCCGGTCTGTGTGGTCCTCCCTCCGTTTCTTCTCTCTTTCCCTCTCGCTCGGCCCATCCCCGAATCCAGTCCAAACCCATTGTGCCTTTCTTCGTTTTCGCCGAGCCCGTCGAGAGAGCTCATATTGTCGCAGATCCATCGGGAAAATGCGAGGCCGCGGGCGAAGCTCCGCATGGTCGATTAAATTTCTCGCCGATTTGGAGTTTCGAAAGACGCTACGTGACTCGCCGACCAGGGTGGCCGCGGGGTCGCCACTTTGTTCCCGATTTTCGAACAAATATGCCCACTTTCCGGATGGAATGTGGAAAATGTTCCAATATTTCCACATGTAAGGTAAAAGTGCCAATGCTCGAACGCGAACATCCAATCTTGAGAATTCTTATTGTTTTAATCTTTAAATGCGAATTCAATTTACATTTAAACGTTGAATGTAGTACATATAAACAAGAACTATTTTGTTATAAACAGCATGGCTGTTCCTTATCTTAGTTACTTTTGTGTGATGGTAACACGTATGGTTGATACGACTTAGTTATTTTGATACATCAACTGCATTAATATAGTTGTATGTGATTTGGTTGTGGCAACCAGAAGTCGGTTTGAGCGACATTTACCATGAATACGACCTGTTGAGAGCAGCCAGATATCGTCCCTACTGCAACGCCAATAACTCAGCAATTGCTATGTGGTTGCTGTCACCACATAATTAATTGTTCCGTGTTTTGTTATTGAATCTGGTTAACATAACCAGGTTTATATGTAGACCAACTATACTGTTTTTTTCGTGCACACATATTCTACATGTTGAAAGTTTAAATATTCATATTTAAAGACTAAAACAATAAGAATGGCCAAGATTAGGCATGTGTCTGAGAATTGTGGTTTTTATCTTATATTTCAAGGATATGTGTGTATCATGTTTCGTCATACGGCTAACCGTTCTTTGTTATGCGATAAAAACTTAAAAAATGATTAGTACTCGATTTCCTTATTATTTCCTTATTATTTCCTTATTATTTCCTTATTATAGTATCTAATCGAGAGGTGCATTTTTAAAGCACCTGTGATTTATATGGAAAGTAAACGGTTATTTATATTAAAATATCATTAAGCTTATAGACTTCATTAAGCCTTCGCTATCATGTATACGTCACGCTATCATGTATACGCTATCATGTCACGTTGAGTATCTTTTTCCTAAATTTCTTGAAGTGAGACTTCATTGCAAGGTAGTGAAAATTGCGCCAGTCAAAGTTGGAGTAAGAATTTCACTCCAAACGAGTGAAAACTCATTCCAAGCGAGCAATTTTTTCACTCGTTTGGAGTGAAGTTCTCGCTTTAACTTCGACTGACGCGATTTTCACTACTTTGGAGTGAAGTTTCACTCCAAGAAATTCAGAATGCACTAATAATTTTTCCGTGAAGTACAAAGTACTTCACGGAAGCCACTGATATAACTGTAATCTCAGGGTATAATTTTTGAAATCGATAAACCTCGTTACGATAACCTTCGCTTGTTATCTCTATACTCACTAAGGTTAATGCACCTGCTCATCGACCGAAGCACTTTCGAGATATTTAGCTGCGCTCGAAAATCGTAAAGAGTGGAAGGTAAAATGCGTGCACGTGTCTCATCTCGACGATCACCCTCGAGATCCACCATCTCCTACACTTTTCGCCTTCTCCGCGGGACGCTGGTAGGCAGAAGCAGCGACGCGGGTTAACTCATGCGAAGATGCAGGAGTTACTTTTATTTATACACCGAAAGAAGCACACGCCTTGTCATCCCGCGGCCCTGCTCCTTCCAGTCTCCCTCGGGCCGACGCGTCCTCGCAGTTTTCTCGCATGGGCACACCTCAAGAGGGGCCCGCGCTCTTGTCGCGACAGCGAGAGGCAGGCACTCCGCGCAGCTGCACAATCGTCGCCCACGGCGCAGGGTTCATTTAACTTCGCAAATACACAACTCTTTAACATTGTGTCGCGTTAAACGTTCCTCTGCCACCGCACTAATGGACACTGACAAATGGCCCCCGAAGAATCCCTTCGCGATCTCCTGCCTCCGCGTCCCCCCGCGCGCGCTATCTCCGCGAAGAACGTCGTTCTCGAGGTTGTACATACGAAGAAAATGTTGTAGTTTTCACTATAATAAAATTTTGTAATCCTGGTCCGTACAGAAATCATGGCCGAAATTGCTATGTGTTTGTTTAAAAATGTTATGTATGTTTGACTTGTTGCCAAAAAATTATTATAACCCGAATATGTTTTTTATATTATGTATTTAGGGTAAATTGTGTAATTTACTATTTTTCTAGTAATTGATATTACAGTGTTAGTATAGTTCAACTTTGCACACAAAAATCTTTGTAAAATGAAATGTAATCTTGACGTAATTTTTACTACAATATTTTCTCCGTGTACAGCCAAGTAGAGACTTTCATGATTATCACAACATAAAACAATCGATAAGAAGCACTAAAATTTTTAAATTACACTTATGAGACAAATATACTGTATTAAATTAGTCATTAAATCTACATCATATAATAATATAAATTTTGGGTTATATTGATGTAGCAACAAATTTAGTAAAAGTTGCATTCAGATTTTTATATTACATTTTACATGACATATTGTTTTGAGCAAATTTTGATCATTTTTATCGTATTATCTTCGTAATTTTTTTATATTTTACGTGATAAATATGAATGCCACATAAACTACTCATAAAGGGACGCGAGCTTTACAAATGGACTAATAAAATCGTCATTTGTCTATCTGAGTAGCATTTATCCGAGAGAGATTAGATATTTTAGGAGATTCGCTGCTTTATAAATTATTTAACCGACGCAAATACCCGATTTTCGTTATTTAGCAATCAAAATAGTCACTGTATTACTTACCATTTTAAGTGAGATCTTATGGGCGTGTTCTTCTATGTTGCCGGGACGTGTCAAACGGTGCGAATCTGCAAACTTATAAAAACATACACGTAATTACTATGTTTATTAATATGTTGACTGTCGGTCAACGATGATTGACATAAGTCTATTTTTTTAGCTAAACTGGTGCAATAAGTTATGAGTGAGACAAGTGTACCTTGTTATTACATTCCAGCTTATTGCACCAGTTCAGACAATTCTAAGGGCAATTCTAAGATTGTTTGAATCTCTTGGTAAGCTACCTGACAGTTAAATCATATATTTGTCTTCGTTTTTTCTTTAAATTGGACAGAGACAGACACATGATTTAACTGTTAGGTAGCTTATCAAGAGGTTGAAACAATCGATCCTAAAAAAACAGACCATCATGATACTGTTATATATAATTGATATACGTACAAGATGCAACTAATTGCATTCGAAAAAATAGGTGTTTGACCAGCCCATAAGCTAGTGAAATGAAATAGAAATACATACCTAAAAAACTATGTTTATATATATAAAGCTATGTCTTAGTAAAAGTTATTGAACTCAAGTTGAGACATCGAAATCAAGGGATAAAAACGAACGAGACAGTCAACACTTTAAGTTACTCAGTGTAAAAAAGAGGAGCATGGGATGTGAGGCCCCCTTCAACGTGACAATGAGGCTGATGCTACCGAAGCTCGCACGAGATACGGAACCAGATAAAAGGAAAGAATTCTCTAAGCAACTACACGATGTCGGGTCCTCCCTCCGTATGTTCACTGCTTGCGCCGACTCATCCTCCTTTGAGGTTTCATCGTGTGCCTCCTGCCACACACACGCGCGCGTGCGCATCCGCACCCACACACACACACACACACACACCAACATACACGATATCCATCCACACAGCACGTATTCACACATGCCTGCGAGCGCGCGTGCGAGCATACACAGAACAGAAGACGGCTTCCACGCGAGCAGCAACAGGCTGCCGCTTTTTACCCTCCGGGATCACGGCAACGCATTCTCGTCCTATCCTCACGACGATGGATCATTTTATTGCGCTCGTGCTCCCGGAAGCGGAAACCCGATGGCCGCGGAATATATCTAGAGTCAGTTATCACGTCTTCTCACCTTGTTCCAATCCGCCAACGCGATCCGACGTTCCTCAACCGATGGCCAAAGAGGAAAGCGAAGAAGAAGCGTACCCTCCAACAAGTAGAACACACTCGTGCGGAAGAAACCGCTGACGACAGGACGGAACTTCAAACGCACACGGCGGGGAAGCGAAAGAGACTGCCCGAAGTCAAGTGGACCGTATGGATTATGTCGATGCACTGTGAGCTGTCTCTGCCGACGCACTGTTAGAAATAAGAAGTTCACAATGGTCGGTGTGATGGAATGGGTGGGAGAGAAAAAACGCAATCCTCGTTACTGGACGTTTACCAATCCGAGGCATTTTTTTTTTTAGTGTGTTTGCCGGTCAAGGACACCCGAAATTGCACAGGAGTTCCTTTTTTGGTCTGCTTTTTCCTATTGTGTTGCACACTTGTTTTTTACAGGTCAATATAGTAGAACTAGGGTGTTATTGATTCTTATTTGAACGACACGCTTGCAACCATCGCTGGTTTGTGAAAAAATTGTCTGTCTCCAAATGCTGTCCCCTCCACGGAGAATGTCTTGCTCCATAAAGGAAACTGGAACAGTTTTGTATTAGGGGCGAGTTGGTAGGATGTTTTGTTTATGTATTTATCGTGGGAGAAATATAGAAATATAGAAATATGGAAAAGAAATTATAAAATAGTAATTAAAATGTTAATATAAAATATTAACATTATAAAATATAAGTGTTTTTCATTGATTTTCATTAGAATATTATTAAAAAAGAGAAAAGTTTGACTTGAAAGTAAATTACGAACGTTTGGAAGTCTCGCGTTAATACTCTCTACCGTATGAAGTATTATTTTGTAATGTGTGTGGAAAATAATTTTTTTTCTTGTTCCATAAACTAATCGAAATCGATCAAATAAAAGGACGTTAGTTTATTACGAAAGTAATGCTGCAGGCTCACATTTCTGTGTTAACAGAAAAAAAATATATGATTTACAAGAATATACTTAGCATAAAAACATACACAAAAATGCATATTGCATTCAAGTAAATATTACTTGTGTGTTTCAAGTATTTCATGAGTTCATATATTCGCAAATCTATCATAAGAGTTCATCAAAAGCTTTAAATTTATTGAAGATGCATTCTGAATCCTAGTAAGCTTAGCAATCAAGAATATTAAATAAAAACAAAAATCCGGTTTGCTTACCACATAGAATCGAACTAACTGTTTTTTCAATGAAGGTTTATATTATTCTCGTAATATAAAATAAGTTATTTTTTTGAACATATATCAACATATACACACATGATAATAAGTTTTTCTAAACCTTGTGATTAGTATATTTGACTAAATTAGATTAGATTATTAGACTATTATCAAAGAAATATTCTTTGTTGAAGATAACCATAACTTAAAAGGGGGAAAGAGTAAACTGAGTAATCGCTTTTCTTAGCAGTAATAATTTTTCTGTGTGTAGAGGAAAGTTGTTTTTACCAATTTTGTACAAACCACAACAATTTTTAGTTAGAGAATATCATATCTTTATCCTTTACGTCAAAAGCGCGTTCTACATTAACGTGTCAGATAATGTTGCATCAAGAGAACGCCGAAATTCGCTTATTGTTCCAAATTGCAAAGCGTTAATTATCTCGAATCACACACGATAGGGCCTCGAATCCATAGTTGTATTCTCGGGGGTCGAACAAAAGCCGCCTTCTTCCTCTCCCATTTACGACTCGGCCGGCGTCGCTGGAAATATAGATGTTAATATTTGTCTCCTGATTCTCACTTAAGCAGGTGTCAGGCATAAACGCGTCATTGTTGGTTTTAAAATCGCCCACGCGCTCCAAATCTCCGATCTCTGGATCGTCCGTGCCGTTGCATATGTTCCTCGGCTCGGCATAATTTTACGTAATGGCCTGCCAGCGCGTGCGAATACCCGTGTTATGTGTGCAACATTATCTATAGCACACACACATATACATCGTTGTGATAAACGTGGTTACAGTAAGGATGACTTCGCAAAATAACGTTTCTCAAAAAACAAAGTAACACAAATCAATTTACTGCGCGGTCTAAGGTTTTCTGTGAATCCATTTCATTGAATCCATTAATATATATTTCAAATAATTGGCGTAAGTTTTTTTAATTAGTTTTTTTTATCAGTTTTTTGTATCTACCACATGATAAATAGAATTTTCTGAAAGTTTCATCTTCATATCCTAACGAAAATAAAAAAGTTCCTTGCGAAAATAATATTCTGTGTATGTCTGATAATGTTCTCAACACACTCTTTTTTAAAAAGTGTAATTTTCTTCTCGTCTCTTCTCGGTAAAGTGTAACGAATGTAACGAGAGTATTATTAAACTTGACGAGGGTACCTTTTTCTCACTATGACATATATTTAACCATATCTATTTATTTTTTTTTTGTGGATATCTTCCGGAAAAGGATACGCCTCAAGGATATGGAACTTTTTTAGTATGGAAAGCACAACTTTTAGAGAATTCTTGCATCTAAACCAATTTTACTGGGTGATCATACTCTTTGAGATACTTTCAGCAAATTAGTCAGAACCTATCTTGACTCATGTCCCAAAAAAGGGAAACAGGCCATAAAAAGTCTTACAATTGTACGAAATAAGTATGTCGGCCTTGAGGATTTCTAAAAGCGAGCGTTGCTTTTCTTTTTCGTCCATTTCGAGCAGACGGAAATATGCTTCGTTGGACAAAATTTATGCAACATGCGTGCACACTGGGCCAACATCCTGTTTTTTTATTTCGATGGTCCTTTGTTCTTTTTCTTGCGGAGACGAAAGATTAAAGCGTGGTTTGGACGGGATTTTTCGGCCATGGGAGTTATGGCGAGGGCGCATATTCACGCGGAATCAAGTATGTGTCTGTTATATTGTACATAAAAAAATATACTGAATAACACGCAAGCAGCAGGAATCATTTTTAAGTCCAATTAACGTGAGAGGGAAACATCAGCAGATGTTTCCAGTGGGCCATTGGGATAAGTCGAAGGAGGATGTACAGAGTTCAGGGTGCCAAACAGCTTAATTCGTTAACTCCTACGTACTTTAAATGTCAACCCTACCACGTGGCTGATAGCCAATGGGAACGCTCTCACTTATTTAACCCACCTCGTAATGCAGGCTCACCCCGTTCTTATAATCCTTTGTTGTAACCCTTTGCTATACCTGCCCAGGGTAAACATCCCTCGCTTCTGGATTGGTGAAAGGCTCGAGGAGGGCTGTCGCAGCTTCAACCCTTGCCAAGCGAATCAATGTCGGTTGCGTATTGTGCGTTCGATGCTGTTGAGCTACGAATTATCGTTTAATTTTAATAATATAATTATGAACTCACTGACAAACGAAATCATGAGTTATACAGAATATTTAATAGTACATATAGAACTCTCGTGTACGTGTAGATGAGGTCAAACTGAACAAAAAGTTCCTTTACCATTTTGCGAACAAGCAAGTAAAGTTTACAGTTATTAATTAAAGAAAATTGATGAACGATTGTGTGTGATTATTCGCCAATTTGCTTTAACCCTCCGTTGCTCCCGTTTGAGGGGAACGCTTAGTCCAAATTTTGTCTTCATATTATGCAAATGTGGCATAAAAGTTGAGTCTGTAACTCTCTGACTTTTCACTTAATAATCTTAAAAATTATAATTGTATGATGATTTCCTCAATTTTGTTAGTATAACTCTTCCTGATAGTCTCTGAAAGTGTTAACGCGCGTTAGATTTGATCGTTGCGCTCACGGCGAGAACAAAGGTCATACAGTCAACGTAACTCGCGTTATTGCCAAGCTTAAGCTTTACTCTGGTCGATAAATTGATAAATATTTTAATGCATTTCCTCGTTCATACAAGAGTGCATTGATGTAATGATAAACGAATTTTCATTTAAATTTAATTTAACCAAAAGTTACGCACATAAAGTTTATAAATTACATATAAATTATGTGTAGAATTAAATATAAATATAAATATCGATTATATATAAATTTATTAATTACATATAAAAGTTAAATTAAATTGTATTAGCAACAAATGTATATATGATAGTGTATCAATTGTATTGATAGCAACACATGTCAACATCGCACTAACATAATGATACAGGCACGACGCTTACACACGAGCACTAACGTTCGTCGAGCCGGACGAGAATAATAGAGAGTTAATTAATAACTCAAAAATCTATATAGAATTATTTGTAAAACAGTACAGGAATTTTTTATTTAGTTTGATATATCCAATATCGATATACCTACGATATACCAACGTTCTACATGTTATCATCAGACACCTTGCATAAACAAGGTTCTTAGGTACAACCAAAGAAAGAGAGAGAAAGGATCAATGAGAGATGATTGCGGTTATTGCGAATATTAGAGCATTTTGCAAATTTGCTGAATCAATTAGTGCTTTTAAATGGATATATCTTTTTATGTCAACAAATAACGGAGGAATCGTGAATATGTGATTTTTTGCTCCTAACATCGTCAAACGAAGACAGCCTACGCGAATACCCAGGAGCCTTGATTAATTATAGTCTATCTTAATTCTTTAATAATGTATTTTTCTTATCTTTGATGCGTATGTTATTACATGCGTATGTCAAACATTTTTATTCTCTTATAGTTCGCACCAATAACCGCGATTGGTTCTTATTGGCCTTCTCTCTCTTTCTCCGGAAATCAGCAATATCCAATGGATTGCAAAATGACATATTTACACAATGAAATTGAGAACTCACTAAAGCATCGAAATTACTACCGTTGTACTTGCGCCTTAATAATATAATTAATAACAACTTAATTAAGAACACTAAATAGTAATAAATAATACTAATACTGATAATAATTAGCAATAATATAAGTTAATAATTTTGGTATTAATAATTTATATTATAATTAATGAATTATTATAATTAATTGTAAATTGATTAAATAATTGTTGGGCAAGAGAGCTCATTAGTAAGACAATATTGGTAATTTAGTAAGTTCTCAACTTCATTATGTCAAAACCGTTTTGCGATCTACCGTCCAAGCGACAATCGCGTCCGCAGTAAACTCATTCGCGTCTAAAGAGCGCGATAATACGCGCGGAGGTGGCGAAATGTCTCTCTTCTGTGTAATTTTACGAGCGACTACCGCCTCTCGTCTTTCCGGGAGATATTAACGCTTGCCAGACGAAAAGCTACGCTGTAACTGCCTAAACTCGCGGCGTCCGCGGGTAAATGGTGCTTCACAAGTTTTTGGTATCGCGTTTACCAAGTTTCAAGCGGGGACGCATGATTAATGATGTCTAGATAATCGCGACTGAGCCACTGGATCCAAGAAGGCCTTTAAAATAATCCCCATAAAATTACGCCCTAATGCCGCGACCATTAATCCTGCGTCTTATCTTCCGTAGGGCGTAGACGCCTAGGAAACTCAACCGAGCGTCAAGTCCGCGCAAGTGCGAAAGCAGAATAGAGATTAGCGATTTAATCCGCGGAGAATCTGCGACGATCTGCCCCCGCGTGCCTCGGAATAAATTAATCAACTTTTCTCCGATCATTCTCAATGATCTGTGCACGTCTCACGACCAACGTCGATTAAACTTCAATCTTAACTTGAGTTCAAACTCTATTTGGACAAAGACTTGAACTCAGGTTAAGGTTCAGACATTAGACACGCAGAATGCGTTCTTTTGTTCAATTTCAGCATAAATGTCCTAAATTTTGCCTTGCCAAGAATAATTTTGCTTTGCGAAAAATAACATGAATCAATAAAACAAAAAAATTGTAACCTTGATCTAAACAGTCAATTTAGTCAGTTGATTTTGTAATGTTGATCACAAATATAATAATTAAAATCTAAGCTCTAATTTCCACAATATAGTAAGTAACAACGTAATTCGTAATCCTTTCACTTTATATGTGCTACTTACATTTCGGGAACTGAAATATATTGTTAAAACACTTGCTATATTGGTAGCAAAATTTACTTTATAAGACAGTCTATTTCTGAATTATAGAAAACATTATAAAATTGAGATGAATTTATATGAAAAGAAATTTAACATTCTCTCCGTGCAGAAATCTTTTTTCGCGAACTTTTTATATATTTTTATACTTCTAAATTTAGTTGTAAAGTTACAGAAATGTTATTTAAAATTTTCCTGAGAACAGCAATTACACAGGTTCGATACGTACTAGCAGAACTTTTACATCAAGCAAATAATTTATGTCAACTGAGAGCCTGAGATATCAATTTTGAAAATTTTACTGCTTTTGTTACATATTGAGCAATGCTCCAATTTACTTTTGCACATATTTTCATTGTGTAAAAGTATTTGTAATTCTCTGCCACCAATATATGACATAAATGACACGATCAGTATTTTATCAATAAGGTTTTCAAATATGGTGTCATCTTGAAAACCGCTGAATAATGTAATATTTCAAAGAGATTTTCCTGGCAACATGAAATATGAGAATAAAAAATTGTGTTTAGAATAAAAATAAACTATATATTCTGTCGATTTATATTTTCATACATTACACCATTAATTTGCAAAAATTGAAATATAGCCCATTTATTATATATTTCCTGAATCAGAGTTAAATAATTTCTTTCTCATCGGCAATTTCTATCTCAACACATAAAGAAAACAAATCGAAATTTAAGAGGGTTATAAATTATAATGCGAAACTTGTTGACCAATGTAGCCGACGATGACGTGGTCGTATCGGGGCAAGCGAGTTCTCCCTTGCGATTCACCGTAATCTTGGAAATACCGCGTAAAGAATCGAAGAAGTGCCGTGAATTTCTTCAAATTCCCTCGACTTCCGCTGATTGTATGGCAATCGAGTTCTGCAAATCTGAGAAGCGCGCGATGGTGGTGGTGGCGGCGGCGGCAGCGCGGAAAAGTTCAGCAGCTTTTAAATACCACTTCGGTGTGTTCCCGATGCAATCGATTTCGCGCTACCTCGAAGGTTGGGGTTGAATCTCCAGACTCGTCCCGAAGTTTTTCCTCCCTTTACCCTCCGTGCGCATTTAAGCCGGCGGCGCTGCCGGAATTAATTATTTAGGGGACAGAAATGGCACCCCTGTCCACCCCCTCGATTCTTTCCGCCCTTCCTGCCCGCTCGCGTTTCCCAGCTCTCCGGATCGAGCCTAACCCGAGGGCGAAGATATAATTATGGGCGGTGGGAGGGCTTCAAGTATTCATGTTTTCATTACGACGCGGGTCTTCGTTGCGCGAAAGGGAAAGGGATTCTTCTCTTAAAAATATACGCTCCTCCGTCATCTCGCGGCTATTCTTTTCCCGCTTAGGCTTTTCGTTATTGCCTGATCGATGTGTGCGATGCACACATAGTTCTCCTAGTAAACCGATCTCTCGAAGATCAGTCGAGAGACTTTTCGCACCTCGGAAGTGCTTTTTCATTTATCACGATATTTTGTACAATCGAGACTGACGTCGTTTGTCCTCACAGACGGAAGAAAGGCAGTCTTTATTTTGAACGTGCCTGAAGTCAAAGATTGATTTGCGCGTGACGGGGTCCACGGAAGTGGACTGCTTTTCGGAGGGCAATTTTTCTCGCCGCGGACGGATGCTCCTTGGCGCCCAGGATGACGCTCACGAGGTGGACGCGGAGATTCCTCCACGTTCCTCCTCGCTGTTTTTGCCCGGTCCGTTATCTATTCTTTGTTCCAGCGTTCTCGCACTCTTTGTCCGGATTCTCCCTTTCGTAACTTCCTCTATCCCCCGGCATTGTCTTCTTAAGAAAGAACTTCTTCGCAAAATGTCGCAGTCCCCCGAATTAATCGACGGCGTTTTCCTCGGCTGAGAGAAAGCCGCGAGAGGGAGATCGGCCATTAAAAATTCCTGAATCAGTAGCCCCTTACTCCTGATTAACGGCCAATCCACCCCGGGTGATCCTTCATCGAGAATCTTCGCTAAGAATGCGGGGGGGAGGGAAGTGTCGACAATTTATAACCATTTCGTAATAAGCGCGTATATTATATCTGGACGAAAAAAGCAACTTTTCGCGGATAGATGTGCGTAAATTCAACAGCACCTTTGCTAACGATTGCGTAAAGATTGTGTCTCTTCTGAGTCTCTTCGTGTTACACTTATATTTGTCATATAAACTGACAAAATAGAATTATAAGAGAAATATGAAAAAAGTCAAATAGACTGTCATGATTATCGAAATAAGACAATCAATGATGGAAACTTTATAATTCTTTTAATTCTTCTACTTTTTGTAATTCTTTTAATTTATGAAGTAAATATACTGTTATATATTGAATTAATTATTAAATTTACATCATTTTCTAAATGTTTTGTTGTATTGATGCAGCAACAAATTTACTAAAGATTGCACTCAGATTTTCATATTACATTCATATTACATTCATATTACATTTCCCTAACAGCACAGATGTCCAGATAACATCCCAAGTACATCCTGAGGAAGTCCTGAGGACATTTCTTCATCCTCAGGACGTTCTTAGGATGTCCTCAGGAGATCTTATGTTGTCTGGGTTAACATGACATTCTGGCAAATTTTGATCTTTTTTTCTGTTTCGTCATTCTATGTGATAAATATGATTACAATCTGATTATTGTCTGATAATAGATTTAGTGTTACCAAATTTCGTTATTTAATATACTTAATATACTTAAAGTTACTATATAGTTTGTGTAATTAGTCTATCGGGGAAATGATCAAAATTGAGTCAAAATAATGTCATGAAAAATATAATATGAAAATATCTGTAAAGTTTAATAAATTTTTAGTAAATTTGTTGCTACGTCAATGTGACTAAAAATTTACATCACTGTGTAATGTAAATTTCATGATAATGTAGTATATTTCAATTGCTTCAAATGCAAAAATAATTTTACGCGAAGAGTTTTATAGTAAAATTACTATAAAATTTTCTAATCGTGATATAGATCGATATTCTGTGCAGTAATTGATTATTCTTTCATTTCATATATACTACTAAAAAAAATTACCATATTTTTGGCGAAATTTGTTGTGTTCCTCGACAAGATAGATCTTATTGACAATTTATCCCTACATTATTAGAAACATAGTAGAATTGAAAAAATTGATATAAAAAGAAATATATAATATCCTCTTCGTTTAGAGCTTCTGTCTCATGTCTCACGATCATCTCACGTTGTGATAATGACGAAAGGCTATCTGGATACCTCGTCACAGATAGAGATTCTGTATCTGTCTCGTTTGACATGGCGCTCTTAAAAGGTTATCTCCTGGGAAAGCTTGAACTGTTAACACTCACGAAAGGTAGCTACACCTGGGAATAGCTGGAAGATCCACAAGAGATGCTGGGTGAAATCTGAGAAACACAGAGAAATAAAGATATCTCGTCGATTTTGTGCCATTTTCGGACGCACTTCCACACTTTAGGCTCTGTAGCTCGCCTCTTTAGGCTATTTTTCTGTCTCTTCGTCTCTTCGTTGTCGCCGTCGTCGTTGTCGTCGACTTAACCATTTTTCGTTGCGACCGCTATTAATTACGTCAGAGCATCTTATCGATGGTCGTCAGCAAGTTTCGCGGCAGGTTTTAATGGAAAAGTTCCTCCCGATAGTACGCGAAGGCAGTGCGAACAAAAATGCAACGATGCAAAATAAGTAGCTCCTTAAAGCGCCCGGTCCTTGTTAGCTTTATATCATTTCGAGAGGTTAATTGAAAAACTTGCTGATTCAGAGCGTGGTGGGCCACATCACACGAAATGCGCGCTCCTGTCTAATGACAACGCGCGTATACATTATTCCTT